ATAAACAGATGATTTCCAAGAATATAATTTTCTCTTCTTTTATATGTATACCTTGCCTTAATACACATAACCAGACTTAATGGCAACATCCCAGAATGAATTTTTAAATTTGGACTAAATTTTGAAGATTTTTTCACAGTACTGAAATTGGACCAAATTGGCTAAAGTCCCATAAACAGATGATTTCCAAGAATATAATTTTCTTTTCTTTTATATGTATACCTTGCCTAAATACACATAACAAGACTTAATGGCAACATCCCAGAATGAATTTTTAATTTTGGACTAAATTTTACAGGTTTTTTCACAGTACTGAAATTGGACCAAATTGGCTAAAGTCCCATAAACAGATGATTTCCAAGAATATAATTTTCTCTTCTTTCATATGTATACCTTGCCTAAATACACATAACCAGACTTAATGGCAACATCCCAGATTGCATTTTCAAATTTTGACTGAATTTTACAGGTTTTTTCACAGTACTGAAATTGGACCAAATTGGCTAAAGTCCCATAAACTGATGATTTCCAAGAATATAATTTTCTCTTCTTTTATATGTATACCTTGCCTAAATACACATAACCAGACTTAATGGCAACATCCCAGAATGAATTTTTAAATTTGGACTAAATTTTGAAGATTTTTTCACAGTACTGAAATTGGACCAAATTGGCTAAAGTCACATAAACAGATGATTTCCAAGAATAATTTTTTTTCTTCTTTTATATGTATACCTTGCCTAAATACACATAACCAGACTAAACGGCAACATCCCAGAATGAATTTTTAAATTTGGACTGAATTTTACAGGTTTTTTCACAGTACTGAAATTGGACCAAATTGGCTAAAGTCCCATAAACAGATGATTTCCAAGAATATAATTTTCTCTTCTTTTATATGTATACCTTGCCTAAATACACATAACCAGACTTAATGGCAACATCCCAGAATGAATTTTTAAATTTGGACTAAATTTTGAAGATTTTTTCACAGTACTGAAATTGGACCAAATTGGCTAAAGTCCCATAAACAGATGATTTCCAAGAATATAATTTTCTCTTCTTTTATATGTATACCTTGCCTTAATACACATAACCAGACTTAATGGCAACATCCCAGAATGAATTTTTAAATTTGGACTAAATTTTGAAGATTTTTTCACAGTACTGAAATTGGACCAAATTGGCTAAAGTCCCATAAACAGATGATTTCCAAGAATATATTTTTCTCTTCTTTTATATGTATACCTTGCCTAAATACACATAACCTGACTAAACGGCAACATCCCAGAATGAATTTTCAAATTTGGACTGAATTTTACAGGTTTTTTCACAGTACTGAAATTGGACCAAATTGGCTAAAGTCCCATAAACAGATGATTTCCAAGAATATAATTTTCTCTTCTTTTATATGTATACCTTGCCTAAATACACATAACCAGACTTAATGGCAACATCCCAGAATGAATTTTTAATTTTGGACTAAATTTTGAAGATTTTTTCACAGTACTGAAATTGGACCAAATTGGCCAAAGTCCCCAAAACTGATGATTTCCAAGAATATAATTTTCTCTTCTTTTATATGTATACCTTGCCTAAATACACATAACCAGACATAATGGCAACATCCCAGAATGAATTTTCAAATTTGGACTGAATTTTACAGGTTTTTTCACAGTACTGAAATTGGACCAAATTGGCTAAAGTCCCATAAACAGATGATTTCCAAGAATATAATTTTCTCTTCTTTTATATGTATACCTTGCCTAAATACACATAACCAGACCTAATGGCAACATCCCAGAATGAATTTTTAAATTTGGACTAAATTTTGAAGATTTTTTCACAGTACTGAAATTGGACCAAATTGGCTAAAGTCCCATAAACAGATGATTTCCAAGAATATAATTTTCTCTTCTTTTATATTTATACCTTGCCTAAATACACATAACCAGACTTAATGGCAACATCCCAGAATGAATTTTTAAATTTGGACTGAATTTTGAAGATTTTTTCACAGTACTGAAATTGGACCAAATTGGCTAAAGTCCCATAAACAGATGACTTCCAAGAATATAATTTTCTCTTCTTTTATATGTATACCTTGCCTAAATACACATAACCAGACTTAATGGCAACATCCCAGAATGAATTATTAATTTTGGACTAAATTTTGAAGATTTTTTCACAGTACTGAAATTGGACCAAATTGGCTAAAGTCCCATAAACAGATGATTTCCAAGAATATAATTTTCTCTTCTTTTATATGTATACCTTGCCTAAATACACATAACCAGACCTAATGGCAACATCCCAGAATGAATTTTTAAATTTGGACTAAATTTTGAAGATTTTTTCACAGTACTGAAATTGGACCAAATTGGCTAAAGTCCCATAAACAGATGATTTCCAAGAATATATTTTTCTCTTCTTTTATATGTATACCTTGCCTAAATACACATAACCAGACTTAATGGCAACATCCCAGAATGAATTTTCAAAGTTTGACTGAATTTTACAGGTTTTTTCACAGTACTGAAATTGGACCAAATTGGCTAAAGTCCCATAAACTGATGATTTCCAAGAATATAATTTTCTCTTCTTTTATATGTATACCTTGCCTAAATACACATAACCAGACTAAACGGCAACATCCCAGAATGAATTTTCAAATTTGGACTAAATTTTACAGGTTTTTTCACAGTACTGAAATTGGACCAAATTGGCTAAAGTCCCATAAACTGATGATTTCCAAGAATATATTTTTCTCTTCTTTTATATGTATACCTTGCCTAAATACACATAACCAGACTTAATGGCAACATCCCAGAATGAATTTTTAAATTTGGACTAAATTTTGAAGGCTTTTTCACAGTACTGAAATTGGACCAAATTGGCGAAAGTCCCATAAACTGATGATTTCCAAGAATATATTTTTCTCTTCTTTTATATGTATATCTTGCCTAAATACACATAACCAGACTTAATGGCAACATCCCAGAATGAATTTTTAAATTTGGACTAAATTTTGAAGATTTTTTCACAGTACTGAAATTGGACCAAATTGGCTAAAGTCCCATAAACTGATGATTTCCAAGAATATATTTATTTCTTCTTTTATATGTATACCTTGCCTAAATACACATAACCAGACTTAATGGCAACATCCCAGAATGAATTTTCAAAGTTTGACTGAATTTTACAGGTTTTTTCACAGTACTGAAATTGGACCAAATTGGCTAAAGTCCCATAAACTGATGATTTCCAAGAATATAATTTTCTCTTCTTTTATATGTATACCTTGCCTAAATACACATAACCAGACTAAACGGCAACATCCCAGAATGAATTTTCAAATTTGGACTAAATTTTACAGGTTTTTTCACAGTACTGAAATTGGACCAAATTGGCTAAAGTCCCATAAACTGATGATTTCCAAGAATATATTTTTCTCTTCTTTTATATGTATACCTTGCCTAAATACAAATAACCAGACTTAATGGCAACATCCCAGAATGAATTTTTAATTTTGGACTGAATTTTACAGATTTATTCCAAATTACTGAAACTGGACCAAATTGGCTAAAGTCCAATAATGAGGTGATTTCAAAGGATATAATTTTTATTCTTTTTTCTATTTGTTTCTTGCCTTAAAATACATTGCAAGACTAAACTGCTCCATCAAAAAATGAAATTTCAATTTTTGACTGAATTTTGAAGATTTTTTCACAGTACTGAAATTGGACCAAATTGGCTAAAGTTCCATAAACTGATGATTTCAAAGGATATAATTTTCTCTTCTTTTATGTTTATACCTTGCCTAAATACACATAACCAGACTAAACGGCAACATCCCAGATTGCATTTTCAAATTTGGACTGAATTTTAGAGATTTTTTCACAGTACTGAAATTGGACCAAAGTGGCTTAAGTTCCATAAACTTATGATTTCAAAGGATATAATTTTCTCTTCTTTTATATGTATACCTTGCCTAAATACACATAACCAGACTTAACGACAACATCCCAGAATGAATTTTCTGCATTACTGTGGGGAAACTTCTGAATGCGGACGAATCTGTTCTATTCACATGGAGAAACCTGAAATGAAAAAAATAAAGTATGTGATGCTAAAATCCCATAAATTGATGAGTCCAATGGATATTTTGTCTTTTTTAATACCTACTCCTCGCTTAAATACACATCATCAGACAGAACTGCAACATTTCAAATTGAATTTTTAAATTTTGACTGAATTTTAAAGATATTTTCCAAATTACTGAAACTGGACCAAATTGGCTAAAGTCCCATAAACTGAATATTTCAAGGGATATTATTTTTCCTTTTTTTCCTATTCATTCGTTGCCTTAAAACACATCATGAGACATAACAGCTACATCACAGATTGAATTATCAAATTTGGACTGAATTTAAAAATATTTTCCAAATTTCTGAAATTGGATCAAATTGTCTAAAGTCCCATTAATTGGTGATATTAGGATATTATTTTTCCTTCTTTTATATATCCGTGCCTAAATACACATCACCAGACAAAACAGCAACAACCGAGATTGAATTTTTAAATTTTGACTGAATTTTAAAAAGTGGACCAAATTGGCTCAAGTCCAATAATAAGATGATTTATAAAGGATACTATTTTTCTTTTTGCTACTTGCCTTAAAATACACCATCAGGCTAAACTGCTCCATCCTAAAATGAAATTTCAGATTTTGACTTCATTTTACAGGTTTTTCTAAAGTACTTGCTATTATATTGTTAAATATTGAATGATAGAAACATTTTTTAAACTGAATGACGGTATATTTTTGTATTGTCACATCATTTATTTCATGAAGAAAAAAATTGAATCAATAAACGTAAGATCATTTTCAGCAGGTTGTGCTCAGTGATGATGAGTGGGGCTTACAAAAAAAAGCTGCTTTTTGAAAAAATAAATGTAACAGCGGTACTCTGGTCGTCTCAAAGATAAGGGAGTACTTGTTGGGTCAGAAGGGATTTATTTTCAATGGGCGTAGAGTGAGAACTTCACGATAGTCCGGATCTGCCCTAAAACATACATAATTTGATATAAATACCATGGGTATGGACAGTATAAAGGCACAAGATAACAACAATAATAATAATACATTTAGATCTATAGTTACCTACTTTTGGCATATATATTTGAACAAATCCTTTCAGATAAAACAAAGTACAGTCTATACATAGTTAATCATGCATACCTTGTCTCAGGGACGCAGGCTGGAACCTCCTTTATTGATGTACAGTGAATAGCCCTGCACAAATAAGTATACTACATATAGATATATTACATATCCACCGTTACACTAGTGTGTATGAAATACAAGCAAAATAAATTCTACAAAAGACTATACATATATATACATGATACATATACATGTATCACTTCTAACCAGTTTATATCTATTTTATAAAATGTACACTTGGCTATTACCTCAGTCAAATACACAGTTAGGGTAAAAGGTAAAATAAATTCCTACGTGCACAAAATAAGTCAACAGCACAATATGTCTACTGAACAGTAAACAGTCACATGTCTAATGTCACACAAAAACATTGTTATTAACTCTGAACAGACAAGCTATGTTAGATCTACGTAGCTGAGGAAAATGACAATAGGACATTTCTTGGAAAATCTCTGATGTTTAGAATTTTCAATAGGACATACCCATAGACTGCTGTATAATTTCTGCAAAATCAATGGGACATTTGTGACAATGGGTAGGCAAATATCCTAAATATTGGACGATCTGTATCACTGGTAACGTTACTCGAAGGCTTGTTGCAAGCGAGATTTCGTACAGTTCAAACATCGTGACACTGAAAGGGCCTTGATCTAATCAGTGTGTGAGGACGCCTGGCGTGCTAAATAAGAAACAGACCTTTACTATCTGGTCATAAGTTTACAACATTCACAGGCTTCGTAGGACAGGTTAAAATCAAACAATGCGCTATTGAAAAAGCATAAACAAATATAGATCTAAGACGGCTCCTTCGCATTATCAAGGGAGGTAACTCTTAATACGTTTTGCTGCCCACTATCAATGTTCTCTTTGCGACACATGAATGGTTTCATAGCTGGGTAATACTTTAGAATGTTGGAACATCATTGGCCCAACATTGTTGTATGTTTGTAAGAGTCTGATATCGCAAATAAAATTTATTCTACAATATTAACACGTAATTTCCATTTTTTTTCTTTGTTCGTCGAAAAACTTCTCACAGTTTTGTATCAACTGGTAAAGTGGCCCGCAGAAAGTGGGTTGAAATAAAATTGTGGATCGGTTAGTCAAAATGGGCCTAGTCAAAACGGGCCGTTACAGTTGTCGTCCTGCGAATGGAAAAATTCGAGGGGTCGTCGTCCTGCGAATACCCCCTCAAGAGAACAATCTGTGGTCGAATGCCAACAACGAATGGTGTACTCTTACGCCACCCTAATAACAACATTGTCTTTTCTCAACGTTGAATTTCGACCATGTGCGAAGTGTTAGTGAGTAATGGATATATTACGACACTCGTCCCCGTCAGATAAATTTTATATTACAACTCGTCTATTTCAAAACGTATCTAACATTTGAAATACATGTACATGTATCGAGCGGTATCGAACTCGTTTAGTAATCTATTTTTACAAAGCCTTTGAGATATTCAAAGACACATGGAAGGCTGAACCCATTTGTTGTAGCTAAGGGTGTGTATGTCAGAGCAGGTGAGGTGCAAAATATCAAACGATCGCGTACACGTTTTCTATTAATGTATTGTAATAGAAGAAAGCAGTTTACCAACCTGCTGTCAGCTGATTCGTTTGTCGGAATTCCGGATTTAGTCTGCACACAGAACACTGAACACCAGCAAAGGCGTTGTTAGAGACAGGCATCGATATGACGGAACTTTATATCGTATGTCAAATGAGTGAGTGAGTGAGTATGGTTTTACGCCGCTTTTAGCAATATTCCAGCAATATCACGGCGGAGGACACCAGAAATGGGTTTCACACAATGTACCCATGTCTGGATTCGAGCCCGAGGCCTTCGGCGTGACGAGCGAACGCTTTAACCACTAGGCTACCCGACCGTCCCGTATGTCAAATGAGAGTTCAAGGAGTTACTTTTGTAAAAAAACATTCACAACCCACACATACCTACCCACCAACAAACTCCGAATGCCCCAAAGACAATCAAAACAGGATATTATAACATCAATGTTGAAGTCTATACATTCCAAATCCTTTGAGATGTTTCAAATGCAATAAATGGTGTTAATTCTAGCGCAAAGTCGGTTACATGTGCTCAATGAATTAAGAATACTCATGTAATGGAAGACTGTGGCAGTAACTTTACTAAGTGCACCAACAACCAATTGAGACCACAAAACATAAATACACAAGAAACATTAATTTTGTTGTTGACAAAAAAAACCAAACATATGCATCTGAAAGCACATCGATAAAACACTCCTTAAGCCTAAACAGTCCACTCCGATTGCGGAATCCCATCCAGAATCTTCCCCAAAATATCAAAGTGGTCAGATAATCAGATCAAACTGTTGGATTCCTTGAGGACATAGAGCACATATCTTGTTGCCCTCAAAGAAAGTGCGAGATAGATCCCCAATCAATCCACGGACCAGATTGTCATTCCAATAATATTGTACACTGGAATTCTAGGGGATTAAAGACTTTAACTTTAATACATCTATCAGTCTATGATTAAATCCATCAATATTCAGCCTACAAGAAAATGATCAAATAAGCTGACAGATAATTTTTACTTGCATCAGTTAATGGGATACCATTATTTTTCCCCTTCCGGCGATAGGGCCACTGGAGGATCTTCAATCATTTTGAGACTGAATGTTATTAACAGCCCAGTTATGCTTGAAGCAAATTTCCAGGCCGTTGCAGTACGACTTACTTTGCACGTTGGGTTTACATTGCACACTGTATGCAATTCTGCCTTCTTCAGCTTTATTCAAGCCCGATAAATCAACTTCCCAAATCAAAGATTTATCTGCATCCTGAAACTGGCACTTACTCTTTGGATTTGTCTCTCACTGACTTTAATCTACATTACGAATCTACGTCAGTCGAAAATAACCTTTATGGAAGTGATCATTTCCCAACTATCTTTTCCACAGTAAATCCATCTTTAAGATGGAATTTTACAATCTGGTCTGTCTTTCAAACTTGACACAAAAAACCCCTAAAAAGCAGCAACTAAAAAACCCCGGATGTTTTAGTTACACTGATCATAGTCAGGCCGGGTCCAACTATAGGACAATGTCGCTTACCAGCTGTGTTTGTAAGTCCATTGAAAAAATTATTCATAATTGTTTGTTGTACTTGGAAACATTTAATCGTTTTACCAATATTCAGAGTGGTTTTAGACTAAAAATATGTACTATTGACCATACGGTTAGTTTGGAAACGTTTGTTAAAATGCCATCATCAATAGTGCGTTACTGAGTTGGGGAGTTGGGTTTAATGCCGCTTTGAATATTATTACAGTTATATCATGGTGTGTCAGCTTAATATGGGAAAAAAGTCGGACGTGATGCAGGTCTCAGACGTTTACTACTTTGGTGCAACCCACGAGCACGGGCACGGTGCTGACAAACTTAAAAAACATAATTAGGGCGAACCGTGACTCGAACCCACAATCGTAGGTTTCTGGCGTGCTCAAGGGACGCAACTCTGCACAGCGAATTGCGGCGTCTTAGGCGACTTGACCGTGCTCCCAAATCATCAATGAATAACACACAGTGTCTGTAATTTTCAATTTATAGAAAGTGCACGATGCGACCTGGAAGCATGGAATGTTTATAAGATCTTCATGAGATGGGGTTGAGAGGCCGTTTGCCTAATTTTACATCTCAGTGTGTAGCATTTCCAGGTACGTGTGGGATTCACATTGTTCTGATTTTTACAATCAAGATCAGGGTGTCAAACAAGTTAGCATATTATCAGTAAGGTTGTTTAATATATAAAAACAATGATCTATTTAGAGTTTAAATGCCTCTGTTGATGGGTAATTGAGTATTTGTCGGCGAGTTTAAAAACCACAGCTAGACCTGACATTGATTAAACTAAAGAAATCGGAAACAAATCAATTACTGTATCAACAAAACGTAAAGTATATACACTACTTACAAATGTATATTTACAGATGGATCCAAGGATGGAGGCGCAGTTGTAAGGTCACTGTCGTACGGTCCAGAACTATATCTTCAACATTACCAGGTAACTGTTTCCTTTTTCTGACCGAATCACGGGCCATTTTATCTGCACTGGATAATATTGTATTGAAGGTGACTTTTTCAGATGTGTATTCCTTGTAATGAATCTATTAGGCAAACATGGTCTGTTTGACTTTTGATTTCTCTGAGTTTGGTTGCTGGCGATTTCGATCTTTTGCCCTTATTTTAGATTGTGACCCGTGATCGTTTTTAGTATTCCCCAACCTGTTTTAAATTAAATATTGTGATATGGTACTGGTTGTTTTACTGTCCCTTGATGACAGGATTTTACTTTGATATAAAGTTTGCTTATGCTCTTGTCACAGTTTGGCTGAAATACTGCTGTGGTGATTAATATTGTGGTAGTTATTGTGACTCACTCCTCGCGGTTGTTTCGACGACGGAGTGTCCTACTGGTTTCAACAGAAGGGCGAACTGTGCTCATATGTCGGCCATCCTACAACTGCTGTTAGAGTGCGTTCAAAGATTTCGCGAAAAGGACGTCAAAATCATTATATCTAAAACATAAATTGTCCCAGAAACATTCTGCTTCAGATTGCTGAGAAAAATTGAAATTGTCAGCCACAAAGATAACATTTTTGGAAGGTGGTTTTCTGAAAATAATATTCAGGCTCATAGCTTTAATCAACAGGTGACTGTTTTAGCAGCTGTAGCTGAAAATATATCTAATCTCCAGAAAAAATCCCAGCCCCCAACCCCCCACCCCCCTAAACCCACACCAACACCCACACCCAGACCCCAACCAGCACCACCACCAGAATATCAATCGGTCGATCTCTTAACATACAATGTCACTTCATGTCGTATTATAGAATTCAATTGCTTTGACAGCTGCCTTTGATCAGTGATTAAATATAACTGCCCCGTGAACATATTCATTAACCAATCTACTAGCTTGAAGAATAGCTATACGTTCAGCCTCACATGTGGAGAGATGGACTTTTAGTCTGAACGCAATTTAGTTGGAAACCTCAGAAATCCAATATGCCCCCAGCAGAACGACGACCATGCCCGAATCCTTTTAGGCATCAGTATCAACGTGTGTAAAGTTGGCGTTATGCTCAGTTAGAACATCCTGAGATACAGCTTCTGTGATATTTGGACTCATGCTTTTGCTTATAATTGAATTCAAAGTTCTTTCAAATTCATAACAAAATCCAGGTTTAAGAAGCACCAATGAGCAATATCTGGAGAGAGGAAGGAGTAATCAGTTGGGTTGCAGGTGTAATAGCTCCATGCTGAGCAGCATGTTTCTGAAAAGTGACCTTGCCATGAGAACAAACGCAAAGCACGAACTTAACACAATTGCCAACAACATCATTACCTGAATAATAGTGAGTGGATTTCAGCCTGAGAGAAGATTTGAGACATTTCTATGCATTCATCAAGGAGAGGTGAAACTG